ATACTTGCAAATATTTGATCTGCTAAAAGCCAATGTAACGATTAAATATCATGAAAACACCAACAGCTCATCTATAAACTCAACTTCAGTTTAATGTGAAACTTRTTAATTATATAAAAATGTTGATCCTGGTTGTATTTTTGTGTTTCTTTTTGTCAAATACTCTCTTAACCTAACCTTCGCAGTTCTTTCACAGTACATGAAATGCACCTGTAACACGTTTGCTAAAGCAGGTGCCCTCTTCCCTGTCGAAGTCTCCTCCTCTGTTTTGGATCAGACGCTGCGTCTGAACCCGGCTGTGTAAATAAGGCTGCCGAGCGGGTCGCCCTGTTGCCTCCTCGCCGCTGAAGGAAGTTAATTTGTTGGGAAGGTTAGCAGGAGTCACGCTCTCAGAGGTCATTCAATAATCGCCCCGGGGCACGAGCCCCCCAGGTGCATTCTGGGATGCATTTTCCCGATAAATCGTTTACAGTGGCTGCTCGGTCCCTCGGGGACCCCAGATAAAGTTTGCCAATCAAAGTTTTTTTTCGAAGCAGCCACCTAACCTCTAACACGTCTGCATACATGTGCGCACGCGCGCACGCGCACACACACACACACACACACACACACAATCAGCATCTTTAATTGTGACTTTGGAAAGAAGATGTGACAGTGGCATGCTGCTCTGCTGAAGTTTGAAAGTGGGAATGTGGGGATGGCGTGTGGAGGATGGAAGATGTGTCTGTGTGTGTGTGTGTGTGTGTGTGTGTTTTCTGTGTGTGCAGAGAAAGGGGAGGGTGTCTTCCAACAATAGTTTACACTCCTCTGATCGTCTGCCAAGGTTTTTGATGAAGAAAGTCACTGCACGTCTTTTCTCCATGATAATTCCCCCAACACGCACACAAACACGTGTGCTTCCTTCTATTTCCGTGCGTCCGTGCATACACACACACACGTGCACGTGAACACACACTTCCAACTCSTTTGTTTGCTTGTGCTCCTTCCCTGTATTGACTTGTTTCATACAGAACGCTACATGACAGAAGGAGTGAGTCGGAAAGCGGTGAGGAAGAAAGACTTGGCCATGCTCCAAGTTCCCCTTTTTTCTCATTGGAGGCAGGCCTCCCCGGTGCCACCCCCACCCCCACCCCCCCTGCCTGCAMCGCGTTATCTCATCTGGGCACGCGTTGGCCGCAACTGGGCCTGCACCGGTGCACGCTGTGGAGAAGCAGACCAGGAAAATGTGCTGCACCCAAGAAAAAATAGAGCTCTTTTTGTTGGAATGGGAATTGTGAAGTGCTGCAGATTTTTAAAGGAGAGTTATGTAACTGAGTGTACCATGTGAACACATTCAACTTAAGCTGATGTGTTTTTTTATATATAAAAACTGAACTAAACTCTTATATAAGTCATTAAAGCAACATTAAAACTAGATCAGAGTTTTACTGTAAAATAACTCTGTTGGATCAAACATGGGGCTTATTTGTCACTGCATTATCATCGTAACTGGAAAATTAGTTTTATTTCATTTCCATTTAATATTCATTCACACTCTGCATGTATTGGACAATCAAAATGACCCTCGCTGATGTTGATGTTCACCTGTTTTACATTATTGTCAGGCAAGTACACATTTGGCAGACTGAAATCCAAAATGTTATAAAGTAAAGCAGATTGCGCTGCCCAAAACAGGGCAGTGCAACATGCAAGCACGTACAGCGGTTCCCTAAGTTGAGGTCGTGACCCAAAGTGGGGTCCTGAAAGATAAAGGTGGGGTCCTTAAATTATATTTTGAATTAATTACACTAAAAAATGAGAACTAACAAACTTTTTATGCCTTTGTTGTTACAAAAGAGTAATGTCAGTGTATTTTACATTGGACAAAAATAGCTTAATGAATATTGTTACTATGTCTTTGTTTATCTGACGTGAAAACAATGTTTATTAACCAACAACAGCAGGGGTCTCAGGTCTCTGCTGCTGGTATCTTGTGGGTCAAAAGCTGAAAAGTTTGGGAACCACTGCTGTAGAGTATGCTTACTGAATGAGAACAGCTGAGAAGTTGGTAATAAACAGGTGCAATGATTAATATAATATAATTAATATTTTATATTATATAAATAATCATGGGAACTAGCAGAACCTATAGAAACACACAAAAGGAGAAATGCAGACAGGAAAAATTAGCCRTATTATCAAACACCATCACAAACAATAAACACTGACAACAATAAACTTACTATCAATTCAATTCAGTTCAATTCAATTTAGTTCAGTTTATTTATATGGTGCCAAGTCACAACATACGTAGTCTAAGGGCACTGTACATAAAAACAATTTAAAGAAGAAGCCAGCAGATCACGTTGAATCACTTCATCACAGTCTCCCATCCTGAGCAGCACATTGGCAACAGTGGAGAGGAAAAACTACCTTTWAACAGGAAGAAACCTCCAGCAGAACCAGGCTCAGGACAGGTGGCCATCTGCCTCGACCAGCTGGATTTGGGGGGGACAGGAAAGAGACACAGAGAATCACAGGACTGGTCCAGGTGCATCTTCCTCTGCAAGAAAGACAAAGAAAACAAGTTATTGATTAAAAATACAACCTATCAGCAGTGATGGACTTGCTTTTCCACTCTAAACTCAACAATGGATGAACTGCTGGATGTTAAAAGGGTTAGTGAGTAATTTTATTCTGTTCTGTCCCAACCATGTGTCTGTGTATAAAAGATGGACTCAGTTCCAGTCATCACTAAGGTTTTTGTTTTGGGTTTTTTATAGTCAAACCATCCACGTGAAGTTTGGATAAAACTGTAGGAAAACAAGCGTCTGCTATGTCATTCAATACAGCATATCAGTTACAGTAGGTCTTAATGGAAAGTTTGAAATAATGATTATAAAAACTTCACTAAGATTATATGTTGAGACATTTTTATTTTGCAGGTTGTAAGCATGTTTGTCGTAATGTGTGTGTGGAGGATTGATTTGTTTTGAAGGTGTCTTCAAATGATCATTTAGGAAGCTGGTTTCTGTCCGCCTGCGCTGCCTCGTGTTTTTTATTACTCAATCAAGATGTTTTTGTCCCAGTCAAAGTAATTTAATATTAAATGTTTAAGGTTATGTTCCCTATTTAAAATTGAGGACTTTAAAAACAGGCTATACCCAAATTGCAAATGTTATTGAACTACTCTGTATTTTGTATTTTAAAATACTATCATATCACAGACAGATTGGCACATTATATCATGACGTATTGTGACCTGGCTAATTTAAAACCATAGACAGTATGTCAGTAACAGATCAGGAGCAGAGTCTGTTCAGCTACTTTGATRCTAATCAATATAAACCCAATCCAACACTTGATCAGTTTGGGACATCCTTATTTTAGTTTCAAGTGTCTGCTTGTTATAATTTGCACTTCTAAGGGTGGAAATTCCTCATAGCATTTCAAAGATTTACGAAGGCATTATGTTATTTGTGTATCCTTTATATGTTCCTCTTGCAAATGAGATCTCAGTGGGGTTTTTAATCTGTATAAATAAAGGAAATAAATGAATATAAAYATGACAGTTTGACACTCTCTCAGTATGTAAGATTAGCATTGAACTTATACTTTAATACTTGTTTATTGTGGTTTCATATAAAGCCTGCACATTTGTGTCTGACTTTTAAAAGTCTGATTATGTAAAAATTATTGACTAAGTATTATTTGCCAAACGATTGCCTGAGTTTAAGCCCTTTCTAGAAATTAACTGAATGTTTTGTCACTTAGATTGTTGTAACTATTTATTATTTGTTTGTTTATTAATTTTTTATGTTGGTCAAAAAATACATTTTCCGTTGACAGGTGTGGGTGAGACTAACTCACCCTTAGCTCTGCAATAAGTCATTATCTCTGCTCAGATTTAAGTTKGAGTAGACGTCAGGACCTGTACACACAGTTACACACATACAGCACCCAAAAACACAAACAAGCTGCTCGGCTGATTAATTAGCCACATTAGCTTTCTCTTTAGGGGATTTGGAGGTTTGCTAAATGCCTGCTTGTCATTTTAATTGCCTTCCTTCCCGTACACACACACACACACACACACACACACACACACACACAC